AGATTAACACTCAGAAGAAGAAATACGGTTACATTTTGAGCCAGTCACACTAAAAGTTCACAATAAATAGTATGGTTACACTTTTTAAATGACCAAATGAAAAGCTTTACAGGATAAATTTAAAGAAAAGAGCGTAGCTGTTTTCTATCTTTCCTGAAGAGAGACAAAAATAAAATGAACTTCAGTTTGAGCAAATTGTTACACATGTGGTGAAGGAAGTTCTATAAGATATCGAAAATATTCACTGATGTAACTTGCTTACGTCTTTATTTTTATTTATTTTTTAATCTTATAGACATTTATTTCCTGAAAAAAGAGCAATCACTTATAAACAGAGTACATGATTAATAACAGAAATTTTTTAAATTTAAATTCAAACTAGTTAACATACAGTGTAGTCTTTGCCTCAGGAGTAGAGCCCAGAGATTCATTCTTTACATATGACACCCAGTACTCAACCTCAGAAATGTTCACCTTAATGCCCATCACCCATTTAAGCCACCCCCCCATCCAACACCCCTCCTGCCAGCAACCCTCAGTTCGTTCTCTGTATTTAAGAGTCTCTTATGGTTTGCCTCCCTCTCTGTTTTTATCTCATTTTTTCTTCCCTTCCCCTATGTTCATGTGTTGTGTTTCTCAAATTCCACATGAGTGAAATCTTATGATATCTGTCTTTTTCTGACTTACTTCTTTTGCTCAGCATAATACCATCTAGTTCCATATAGACTGTTGCAAATGGCAAGATTTCATTCTTTTTCACTGCTGAGTAGTATGCCATTGCATATACAATACCACATTTTCTTGTCTTTAAAACTGAGACAGCTATAACCGAATATTTGTTCTGAATATGGAATAAATCAAGACATACATAGCTTAAAAGATCCCTTCTCGCCATGAAGAAGACTCCAAACCAACCAGGAAACAACAGCAGTTAGTCAAATATTTGGTCCCTCAGACTATCCCCGGGTCTGGTTGAACAAACTTTTTGCTGAAATAGAGTTCCCATATTTCCCCCTGAGCAAAATAGAGTTCTATAGCATGTTTTGTGCAATTGCTCAACCTTTTCAAGGTAATGTCTTATACTTTTACTAAAAGGGATTGGAAATGACTGGTAAGGAGATGAGAATTTGACAACTTTGTGTCCAGCTTTGCAGTGAATAGGAATGAAGTATAATAATAAGTTGTAGTAAAGAAATAAAAGCTGTTCATTTGAGAGGCTCTTTAAGACTCTTATGTTATTGCAGATGCGAGCACATGTCAACTCGAGGTGGTTCATCTTCCAAAAAAACATGGAGAGATTTCTTCATGCTATTATGCCATCTACCTTTATCCCTCTCTATACCATGGTAAGGTCTGGATTTAAGGCATCGCATCGTTTTATTCTTCTGTTTAGCCATTAAAGAATCACAAGAATACTTTGTGACCTTCCTTACAGGTTGCCTTCTCCAGAATAAGATACCATGAGGCAGTGCTGCGCTGGCACTGGCAGAAAAAGGTCAGAATAAATTGAAGTTCTTAGTGGTCTGGTTATGATCCTTCAGGCAAATACAGAAACGACATGACAGACACTAAATGTTTGCTTCCAAATAACAACTGTTCTGGGTACACAGAAGGAAAAGTGCCTAATGAACAAAATTACAAAAAGAGAGAGAAAAGAGATAGTGAGTGAGCAAGAGGGTGAGAGAGTGAGCAAGTGCTTCTGAAGAGAAGAAATTAAAAAAAGAAACAGATGCCAGTATTTCTAAACTTTCTACTTTATTTTAGCAACTTGACGATTTGCTTTTATTTAGCAATTTGCTTTTGCTTCATGAAATACTCTTATGGGTATGATTAGTCAAACTGAACAGAACTGAATCGCTTATAAAACACAATTGAATTCTAATTTAATGCTATAACATGTTTATTCTGGGCAGTTGACTCAGAGATACCACTAAGTAGACATTGAGATTTTTGATCTTCAACTTTGGAAATCTAACAGCTTTATCCATGCAACAAATCATTTTATTTAATGTGTAGAGACTGAGCTGAGCATGGTGATAAATAAGCAACAGTCCCTCTCCTCATGTAGCTCAGAGGCTGGTGGAGGATGGTGGAGAAGCACAGCTGCCCTGGAGGAGAATAGGAGTAGCCAGGGTGGGTGGAGGTCCATGGGACTGGAAGGCAGTCCAGAGGTGTGAGAATGGCCAGAGGTGCAGCTGGGATGGTAAGAAGGACCTCAAGGATTTTGAGTATTACATTGAGGGAAGCAGGGAGACAAATGGAGGCTAATAGATTTGGGTGTGGATTTTAGAAAGGTAGCTTTGCTGTGTGGAGCCTGGATTGGAAGGAATCTAGGTTTATTCTTGCAGAGATGAATAAAGTAGGACCCCTGCCCTCAAGGAGCCTAAAGTCTAATAGGAGAAAGACGGTGACAGGCAATGAGAATACAGGACACTTAGTGCCAACAGGCCAATTCTCATGGAGATTTTGTGCAGTCTGAGCAGTGACTGAATCATTGTGGCTTCAGCACGATACTCTTCTAAAGTAGCATTCATAACTCTCTTTTTTCTAAACTGTGTGGGTCCCCCCACCACCACCAGGGCTAAATACAGGGGGACTGCAAAGAATTCTTTATACAGAACACATGGACCCAGTTATTTCTGGGAATAGAGAGAAAACAGAGATAGAGAGGAGGGAAATTCCAAATGCTAGATCTTACTAGTCATTGTTGGCCTTGACATAGTGGTCATTCGATTACATTGCTGTTTCAGGTTAAAGAACAAAGAAGAAATTATATACTCCTTCGTTGTTTAAGAATGAAGTCTTTTAAGATGTTAATCTCTGGACAAATGAAATGAGACTTCTTGCTGTTTTTACAGGTGATAAATAAAGGACTCTTTTTCCTTGCAACACTGATGGCCATCGGCAGCACCTACCTGCTTGTGCGCTCCAGGTCAATGAGACCCTTGCACTACTTCAGAAGATCGTGGGACTGGCTCACTTACTTCCAGAAAACAGGACCCGTTTCCCTGCAAACTCCATGGAGTCACTAAAAAGAATTCCCAATGCCATTAGCAGATGATATAAAGGTTCTAAAGTAGCAAATAGCTGGATTTCTTTATAACCAAAACTAAGGATCAAAACCATGTTTCCATCATCATATTTAATTCACTAGTGCAAGATATATCTCAGCTTACAGTGAAATTCAGTATAGAATTATCATTGAAGAGAAAAAAAAAAACCCAACCCCAAACCACCAGTTTATGTTGTAAAAGGCCGCTTTCCCACAACACTACACATAGGTGTGGTCATTCTAAATATAAAAATGCAGTGACCAAGATCTCTTTCACTTCTCAGAAAGTGAAACACTAGAGGCCTTGAGGAAGACACTGATTACATCTTTCCTTTAAAGAACATAATTAAGGTCGTGATAAGATTGACTCAACACCTAGGACTAAAAATTACAATTTGGCTAATGTGTTAAGTGCACTTTTAATCCCCTGGATGGAACTTCTCCAACACAGAGCTCAGATTCACTTACTAAAACTGAACGTGTAAATGAGGAATTTGGGGCACTCTAAAGAGTTACAAAATGAATGAATTTTACTTAACAATCTTCTAAGGCCAGTATTACCTTTTGAAGATGTAGAAAAAGGGGGGGCCATTAATACCATACCAAGTGAAGACTAAGAAGAGTTTTATTTACAAATTAAACATTGATACATACAACAGAGTGGAAAGTAAATAAGGGAAGACAGTTTCAATAGAAATTATTCCATTTCAGACTCCCAGAAGCAGTTACTAACTTGCTATGGCAGAACCAGCAATAAATTTGATTTTGAAAAGTTCATTTAGTGAAAACCTTTTCTTTGGTTCTTCCTTCTTCAATAGGCCAACGGACTCACTTAGAAGTCTTTCAAACATGATTATTTATGTAGATGCTCCACTAGTGAGATAGTCATCTAAGAAATAAAAACTAGGCAATACAATAAAATGATTCCATTTCTTTTCTATGTTGTCAAGGAAATCTTTGAGTTCTAATAATCCATATTTAGTCTAAACAATGACTTACAGGAAAATGGCCTCTTCACTAACACTGACCATTGATTGTCCAGTAGATTGACTAAAGAGCAAAAAAGATTAAATAATACATTTTATGAGTACAGTTTTACACTTACTTTCATCCCCTTCAACTTAGGTTTCGTTTTTTGCTTGGAACTCCTTTTCTAAACCCAAAACTCTTGGCAAAATTGTGGCAAATTGTTAAAAAGAGAAGATAATCTTGCCAAGTTATGTTTGAAATGAAACAGATGGAGATACCTATCTGCCATCGACACATCCTTCTTCATGTACACCCTCTGTGAATGTATGATTTCCTAGACTCCATGATTCCCTTGAAATTCACTGTCTTTCTTTGCTGTGTGCTTTTAAATACCCTTTCTAGAGCTTGCTTAGCAGCACATTCATCTGAAGCTCCTCTTTATCATACTGCCTATATGGCAAGTCTTTTGTTTTGAAGGAAGCCAGGGTACTGAAATTCTTTGTCACCCTGGAATTGTCTCTGATAAATTTGACTGGTCAGACAGAGGATGTGACAGTGATTAGGATCCCACACCATAGAAAATTTGAGATTTCCTAGTGATTTCACATGTATATGATACAAAGTTATTTTTACAGCTATTTTTGAGCTGTAAATACAGCTAAGTATTTTTGAGAAAAACGTCTATGTGCCTTGGAAAATAGTGTCATTTAAAAAAAATATATTCAAAACTAAAATTTCCAACATGTTAGAAGTTGATGGTGCCAGATGCCCATCTTGTGCCATAAATGGTTTTTCATTATGGAAAGCACCCTTTGAACTCAAAAATTTTCTTGCTCAGTTGTTTCCAGTGGTCAGAAAGCATCTGGGGAATTCAGATTTCCTGCTGGGCCGCAAAAGTTCTGTTGACATTGTGGGCCCCCCCCCCCCCCAGGGCAGGCTGCCCCAAAATATGCCACAATGGCATAATGATTATTTTGAATTAAAGTTACGTAAGAAACAGCAAGTGCAAAAAAGATGCTCTGACCTTTCTTTGTTCCCCTGAAAGCAGGAAACCACTCACATGAAAGGTACCTCCCTGCACCAGGAGGTAAAGGGGCATCCTTATCATCACAGAGAATTGAAGGCTGAAGAAGCCTACATCAACAAACCTTGTTACTTTTACTGAACAACTACCCCAGCCCAAATTCTGTCTAGAACTCTACTAATCGAAGGTCCCAAACATAAGTTTTATTTGTCCTGTCAATTCCTTATAGATCAATGTTTCTTTGTCTAAAATGTATAAAAGCTACATGCCTTGCTCATTTCTTTGGGTTGCAATTTTATTACTTGGCCTCCTTGCACACAGAATTAAACTTTGTGGGTTTTTTTTTTCCTGTTAATCTGTCTCATGTCAATTTAATTCCTAGACCAGCCAGAAGAATCTTGTAGGGCAGAGGAAAGTTTTTCCTCTCCAACAATATTAACATAGAATGAGGATTCCAAAACAGTCCTTATGATGGAAGCCTAAAAGTGGCGTCCAATACAAGTCCTCATCTTTCATTACCATTATTCCTTCCTATAAAGGACGGACTTGGATTACATCAACTTTTGACCCACTGGCTTTGTCACTGTCTTCAACTGACAGTGATTCATCACTGGTGATGATAAAAATGATGGAAGAAGAATTAAAAGTCACTTTTTTCTTTGGCCTGTCTCCATCTTTTTGTGACATCACAATGGGTCTGATCTGCATTTCACTCTCATTGGCTGGTAGGTCCTCAGCAGGCCTCTGGCATCTCAGCAGTCGGAAACATAGCAGTTGCAAAAGGGATCTTCGAAACTGGGCAGGGAGAAAATAAAGTTGAATATTAAGTAAACATTTGACTCTTAATCTGGATTAACATTCAATAAAATTATTTGAGATTAAATTTGGTTGTTCTTTTTTATTTATTAGCTTGCGTGGCTACGGGGTTAGATGGCAATGCTCAGATGTACCTAAATAACCCTGGAGCTTTATGTTTTCTACTTATTATAATTCTCATTAACAAAATCATATAGGACTATTATAATCTCTATGGATTTAAGTTGCATGCACTTTATATGAGGGCAACAAAATCTATTTCCTTAAGGAATTTTGAACATGAATTCCTTGCACAAATATTCAGTGAGCACCTACTACATGATAGCCACTGTGCTACAATTTGGGGCAGCAAAGAATGACAAGGCCCTTCCTGCAGAGTTTATAGTCTGCTGTCTCACTAATGTTCTGTTAACTAAAGAATTTTTTTCTATCAAGATTACAAACCATTTTGGGGAAAAATACTACAGTTGGGAGTGCTAATGTTCACCAGTGCCCATGATTATTCTTCCCTCTGTCCTGGACACGGCTCTGAACCAAAAGCTAATTAATTTCATTTTTATTCCCTTTGTTCAGAGCAAAATAAAAGTTTTATACATGGGCTTTCACAGATCAGGAAATAGTAATGAAAAATATGATAACTAGCTACATTGATTGCTGTCTTCTTTAAACCCGGCTTATATACAAGTTAGTATTTAGTTTATACTCACATTTAAAAATATTTGAGAATATTTATTCATCAAACTACAGTTTCCTATATCAGGCTAAGTGCTAAAGATACATTATTATAAGGGTTTAGAATATTCATATCAAAATATGTTCGTTTTTGTTTGTTTATTGAGTCTCTTAGACTTCTAGTTCAAAGTGTGCTCCTGGGAACCAGAAACATGGGAACCATGTGGCAACTTGTCAAAATGCAGACTCTCAGGCACCCCGCATACCGAATCTGAATATGCACTTTTTTTTTCTTTTACAAGCTCTCCAGGTGTGGTGTATGCACTTTAAAGTTTTCAAAGAACTAATTATGATCCATTGGCCCAGAGAAAGAACACAAAAAACGATTGTTAGGTAATGTATTTAAAATGTACTTATTTGCCTGTCGAGGCGGTAGTTCTTAAAATATGAGATTTCATACTTCTTCAGAAAATTAAACCTATAATCTATCTTGCTAAAAAAAATTCATATGTGCACATTCTTAAAAAGTTTTATGACCAATTTTCAGGATTCTCACGACTTTCCTAAAGCCAATTCAAGTAATTCTCAGAGTCTAAGGACTCCAAGTTAAAATTCTCCAGGTTCAAGTAAATACATAAATGAAGGCAACATGAGATAGAAAGACCATCAGTGAATAGAGATTGAAACCGTTTGAAAGTAGGAAGAAAGAGGGAGATTTAGCAGTGAATATTATATGGTTAATTTTTAAAAGCCCCTCTTATACTAAATTCTTGAGCATTAGTAGCCTAAGTAGCTATTATTGTCTGATATTAGCATGACCTATTACTTTAAAATTCCAGTGGAGTAATTAACTATTGATTACTCATAACTTTTAAATTCTCTGATCTTTAAACTTTATAACTTAGAGGCTTAGCTTCATAGCAATCATAATGAGGGTTCTCTTAGTTAGGACTGAAACTGTCAAGTCGAAACTTTTCTATCACAGAAATAAGCTTCCCATTAGATCTAGAGGATTTTCTGAAGCCAAATTAATTTGAGCTACCCACCAGCCATGGCACATGAATAATAACCCAACTAACTGTTAATAGTATCGGTAATCCCCATTCATTCCTGGGTTACAGGGCTGGTTCAACATTCACAAATCAATCAATGTGATACATCACATCAATAAAAGAAAAGATAAAAACCATATGATCCTGTCAATAGATGCAGAAAAAGCATTTGACAAAATACAGCATCCCTTCTTTTTTTAAAAAAAAAAATTTTTAATGTTTTATTTATTTCTAGGAGAGAGAGAGAGACAGCGTGAGCAGGGGAGGGTCAGAGAGAGAGGGAGTCACAGACTGAAACCGGCTCCAGGCTCTGAGCTGGCAGTCAGCACAGAGCCCAACGCGGGGCTTGAACCCACGAATCTTGATATCATGACCTAAGCGAAAGTCGGACGCTTAACCGACTAAGCCACCCAGGCGCCCCCAGCATCCCTTCTTAATAAAGACTCTAGAGAAAGTCAGGATAGAAGGAACCTACTTAAACATCATAAAAGCCATCTATGAGAAGCCTTCAGCTAACATCATTCTCAGCGGGGAAAAAATGAGAGCTTTCCCCCTGAGATCAGGAACACGGCAGGGATGTCCACTCTCACCACTGTTGTTTAACATAGTGCTGGAAGTCCTAGCATCAGCCATCAGACAACAAAAGGAAATCAAAGGTATCAGAATTGGCAAAGAGGAAGTCAAACTTTCACTCTTCACTGATGACATGATACTCTACATAGAAAACCCAACAGACTCCACCAGAAGCCTACTAGAACTGATCCAAGAACTCAGCCAAGTTGCAGGGTACAAAATCAACGTATAGAAATCGGTTGCATTTTTATACACCAACAATGAAGCAACAGA